ACATCTCAAAAAAATAACTCCATACTAGAAAAGTGTAATTGCAACTCCACAAAAGGTGATCAACGTCCTCAGTTGGAGGATACAAGACTGTGGCCCTACCAGACCGGAAGACCACCTCAAAACACAATCTAGAGTATTAACTCTGCCAAGAAGGTTCTGCCACACAAAGAATTTGAACTTCTTAAAAATTTTAACCTTTGACAACAAGAACAACAAGAAAAAGACATGATAAGATAAGTTTACTAGAGGAATTTGATAGGATTACTAATAGGATATAATTGGGGATATTATTAGAGTATTTAAGGGTATATTGGTAATTGTGTTAGGAGGTTTAGTTATAAATAGATGGAGGAGGCAAGGATGAAAGTAGGCAATTGGTTAGTATGGTTTAGGCTTGAGTAAGAATACTCCAGAGAGGGGAGGGTCCAAGTACCTCGAATTACTTGGGAGATATTGTAGTTATTCTATCTTTTATATTTCAATATATTTCTAGTTTGGGTTCTATCAGAATTCACCAAGCAATGGATAAAAACAATCTACAAGAGAATACTTCAAAAGGACTAGGGCCCAAAGACGAAAAAATTCTTCTCCCAGAACTAATTGCGACAATATTCCTTGTTTCCCTATTGAACAAAAGACAATGGAACTCGAGATCAAGGGAGGAAGAGCTCCCAGAAGAAAGGACAGAAGCTACCTAAATGTTCCCCTTGGAAGATAGATGGTATAAGCGAGGAAAAAAAAAGATAGAAGGGTCTATTGAAGGTTTCAAGGTGGGCAACTCCAATACTCAAATTGCCAATCTACATCTTTTAAGGACACCCTTCATTTCTCCGTGGTTGATAAATTGAAGGTGAAAAACCTCCTAATGATTATCTAAGCCTTTGAAGCAACCTGTCGGCTGAGAATATATATCAACAATGTTAATCGTCCCTAGGTAACCAACCAAGCAAAAAACCTAACTTCTTCAATTTTAGTCTTCCACAGTAAGGTGAATAAAAGGGCAGCAGAGGGTTAGGATGAGACGAGAAACGGGCAGAGAGAGACTTACTAAGATGCATACTCCACGTAAGATAATCACTGGAATTTTGGGAAAGACAATAAAGAATACACAAACCTTGGAACTCATTTAACAATGAGGACTTCTAAAATCAAAATTAAAATCAATGTAATTAATGATAGTTGCACATGAGATTAACTCAGTTTACAAACAACTAGTTGTCTTTAAGAACCGTAGTTATTATATAACTCAAATTATTTTTATTTAGTAACTTAACTACCTACACCAAATACATCTGCTCCGACCAATACTAGGCTACCTATGGGAAAAAAGAGTTGCTCAAAGAGTATGATACAATAAGTATCCTATAAATATTGCTGTTAAAAGTTTAGGTCTTTTCATACAAAAAAAATGTTTCTTTGGATGCATACTATTAAGCCTAAAGTACACCACACTTTTCAAGGGAATTCTAGATACTTAAACATTTGTATATAACTCAAATAAAACATACATTTTCATGCAATTGATGCTTTAAAATCTTTCATGACAGACTTTAAAGCAAAGATGATTTGTAATATTCTAAAAATGCAAATTTGTCTTTACCTTCGTTTAGTTGGTGATTTGAAAACAAAAATCTGAAAACGGGGGATTAAAGAAAAAAAAAAAAAAAAAAGAAAGTTGTACGGACGTGTTTGGTAGCAAATTTGAAAATTGAATCTCAATTTAAAAAATTGTTCAAGGTATTTAATAATATATTTGTAAATTAGTAGCAGTTACCAACTAAATATTAAGTTCAACTTAAAATAATATTAATTAATTTATTAGCATATATGTTATAAGTTTGGTAGAATTATTTACAATATTATATAATTTATAATATTATATTTTTAATTTGTTAATTTGTTAATTTTAACAAAAATGAAATGAGTTTATACATGAAATAATATATTTATCAAAGTTTTTATCTTTTTTAATGTAATTCTACATTTTACCATTCCAAATTCAAAATTTGAAAACACTTAAAACATAAAAATGTTTTCAAAATTTCCACTAATTGGATCACAGAATCCAAAAAACAATTTTCAAAAACAAATCTGTCAAATAGATATTCACTGTATTCTGGATACAATGAATGGAATCCAAATCGCATACCAAACAAACCCTAAACATTTGTATATAACTCAAATGAAACATATATTTGCGTGCAATGGACAATAGATGCTTGAAAATTTTTCATGACAGACTTCAAAGCAAAGATGATTTGTAATATTCTAAAAATGCAAATTTGTCTTCACCTTCTTTTTTATTGCTCTAATTCTCTTATCGATATCATTAGAAGGAAACTGTTGATCATCTATTGGCTCTGAAGAAGGGTTTTCAATTTTCGGATTTGTAGAAACAGCAAGCTTATTCATCCGTGAACTTAATGACTGGAAAAGTTCCAATCCATTGTCTACATATGATTCCTTTGCTTCCGTGATCTCTCCATCAACCACTTGTTCCAAAGTTTTATCCTTCTCATGAGCTGCCTGCAGAAAAAGGATAAATAAATAAACGATGATTCATAAACTCTAAAGCATGATCAAGAACTATAACCGTACAAAAATAAAGAAGAAAACAAGAAACTGATCATTATAAAATAAATAAACGATGATTCATAAACTACAAGAACTATAACTGTACAAAAATAAAGAATATCAAATATAAACTCAACACCCAATTTATGAGTTGTAAGATGCCTTACTAAAACTAACAAAGTTCAGTTTCGGATAGTTTAATCCAATGATGGGACAAAAACAGCATGCAAATTCATCAAAAATGTCCCTTGTCAAAGGGGAAAGTATGCATGAAAAAAAAAAACTCGTAAGAAACCAAGCTTTCCTTGAGCAAAATGAAAGAATCTACAATGGCATTGAAAAAACAGTTTAACAAGAGGAGGCCAACCTTCAAAAAAGAGCTCCAATCTAAAAGAATATGATGTAAGTACCTAGCTTATTTATCACTTAGCTAGTTAGTTAGTAGTTGGATAAATAGTTAAAAGCCCAATGGAGGAGATTTATCAAGGCAAAATATTCTGGTTCCTCATCTGCCTCATGGCCATCCATTCGACATAGCTGCTACAGAGGACCATGGACGGGTATTTACCAACAAATCAAGCTCATAAAAGAACATGCCTACTGTCGAGTGGGAGAAGCTAGCCAGATTGTTTTTTGGAAGGATAAATGGCTACTACAGGGGACTTTGGCCAACCTTTTCCCAAATCTCTTTGCTATATCTATAGGTAAAGAGGCAACCATTGCTCATCTGTGGTCAAAAACCACCTCATCATGAGACTATAGATTTCGCAGACATCAAAAAGAGGAGGAAACAAGTGGTTAAGCCTTTCACACACCTTTTCAGAGATTGGCCCTACGACCCATGATGATCTATGGTTATGGCCACACGAAGCAACCAAAGCTTTTTCCACCAGATCTATATACAGAGTGCTATCTACCACTGCCTCCCAACCCGCCCTAACACTGTTCCATAGCATCTGGAAAGGTATCTGTCCAAATAAAGTGAAGTTTTTTTGTTGAGAGCTTAGTCATGGCGCGATAAAAACCCACGACAGGATTCAAAGGAAACTTCCCCACATTGTTCTCTCCCAAATTGTTGCCACCTCTGTTTAGAGGCATCCGAAGACCAGTGCCATCTATTCATTACTTGTTCTTTTGCTGCTTATTTTTGGGGCATTATCCTCAATGCTTTTGGATGGAAAACTGCACTGCACATTCACCCTGCCATTTTCCTTGACTGCCTACTATTTGGACATCCTTTTAAAAAGGAAAAGGCTACACTGTGGGTTCAATTTATAAGGGCTTTCTTATGGAGTCTTTGGTTGGAGAGGAACATTAGGGTCTTTAATGACAAAGTTCTTCCCTTTGAGATCTTTTTTGACAGAGTTACTCTCTTAGCTCTTGGATGGTGTAAATGTTTCTACTCACCTTTTAATAGCTACTCTCTAAACAATCTTATTACAAGCTGAAAGACTTTCTTGTAATTGCCCATGTGGCCTTTTGAATATTTCATACTATCAATGAAATATTTGTTTCCTTCCTAAAAAAAATAGTTAAAAGCCCATAGGCCTTTCTGTCCGTGTGTTAGATACTTAGATAACAATCGACACCTCCCTTTCCCTATAAATACCCCATTTGTATTCTTCTTAGCCCATCATTCAAATATACTCTCTTCCCATTTGGGTTCCATATGATTGGTATCAGAGCATCCAAGATCCTTGGGCTCTTGTTATCATGGCAAGCAAGAAACCTTCTTCTCAAGTATTAGGGGATTCTTCTCTCGCCGGAAACGGAGCAAACCACCGTCCTCTCCCCTTGCACTACAACCTGACGCTTGCTGCCGGTTGAAGAAACGGCCGACAATATCAACAAAAACGTGGGTGAGACGCAGCAAATGTTGAATTCAATCACAAAGAAACTTAATGCCTTGAGCTTTCAACAAAACCAACCAAGACTTGACCAAAGAGAACAAAGAAAGGAGCAAGGGATAAATATTGATCAAAATCAGCAGGGACAACAGAATACTCAACCAAGAATGCTGCAAGAACGTAGGTATGATCAACGAGAACTAAACTGTGAAGCACTAAATCAACATTTTGGCCAACCAAGAATGCTGCAAGAACCAAGGTATGTCTATCAAGAACCTAATCATAACCCACTATTTCAAAAAATAATTGATTTGGACTCATCTAGTGAGGAAGATGAAATTCCTATGTTGATCGAGGATAGATGTATGGTTAGATAACCTCAACAATTCCAAGAAACAGGTGGGTATAAGATGAAAATCAATTTACCAAGTTTCAATGGGAAAATGGATATTGAATCCTTCCTTGATTGGGAGAAAAAATGTTGACGACTTCCTTGATTACATGAATACTCCCGCCCACAAGAAAGTGAAATTAGTGGCTCTTAAACTTAAAAGTGGAGCTTCGGCTTCGTGGGATCAATTAGAGATCAATCGACGTCATTATGGGAAACATCCCATACGAACGTGGGAAAAACTGAAAAACTTATGCGTGAAAGATTTCTCCCTGTTAACTATGAGCAAATCCAACATAATCAATACCATACTTGTTGACAAGGCTCTCGATCTATCTTGGATTATACTGAAGAATTCCATAGATTGGGTGCAAGAAACAATCTTGGAGAAAATGAACATCATCAAGTAGCTCGCTACATTGGTGAGCTGCACTCTGACATTAAAGAATGCATTCAACTTCACCCTATTGGCTATCTAAATGAAACCATATATCCACTGCTACAACTATGAGCAAGCCAACCAGTATAAAAAACAATATGCTCTACAGGGGATAATCAAGCAAGCACCAGGCGCAAGGGACATTCCCTTTTTGATAAACAACAGCTGCAGGCGTCAACCACTAAAGGCAAGCAATCTGATCAAGATTTTCAAAAAGAATTCAAGAATGTAGACACTCCAGCCATCAAGAAAACCACAAATGCTTACAATCGTCCAATTCTTGGTAAGTGCTTTCGTTGTGGTCAGCAAGGACTCCAACGTAAGGCTATGCAATGGTGGATGATACCATTCAGGAGGACATTGCTTCTGATGTTGAATTAGATGATGAACCTATATTTCTTGAACCTGATGAAGGTGACCAGCTTTCTTGCATTGTGGAACGACTTCTTTTAACACCTAAAACTGTTTCTTTCCCTCAACGACACTCTCTTTTCAAGACTCCTTGTACCATTAACGGAAAAATCTGCACTATTATAATTGATAGTGGCAGTACAGAGAATATTGTCTCTCAAAAATTTGTGACAGCACTTAATTTGCCTGTTTCCCCTCATCCCACTCCCTATGAGGTCACTTGGATCAAAAAAGGAGGGGAAGTTCAAGTCAACAACATATGTTCTGTTCCTCCCTCTATTGGAAATAATTACAAAGACCAAATTGTGTGTGATGTTTTGGACATGGATGTTTGCCATATTTTACTTGGTCGTCCGTGGCAATATGATACACAATCCGTGCATAAAGGACGAGATAATACGTATGAGTTTTTATGGATGGGAAAGAAAATTGTGCTTCTTCCTTTAGGCACTGGTTCTAACCAAAATACTTCACCATGTAAGACTAAGGGACAATTATTCACCATTACTAGTGACAAACAGCTTCTAAGGGAGAATGCCTCCCATATCCTCGGGCTTGTCATTAAAGACTATGGGATGCATGACATTCCTAGTGACATTCCCCCTGAAATTCAAGAGCTGTTCACAAAATTTCCTTCCATATTAGAAACCCCAACAACTTTACCTCCCCTAAGAGACATTCAACATAATTTAGACCTTATCCCTGGTGCTACTCTTCCAAACTTGCCACATTACTGAATGAGTCCCACGGAATACCAAATCTTGCATAACCAAATTCAAGATCTTCTCACCAAAGGACACATTCAGCCAAGCTTGAACCCATGTGCTGTCCCTACCTTACTCACTCCTAAAAAAGATGGCAGTTGGTGTGTTTTGATAGTAGAGCTATCAACAAAATCACTGTTAAATACCGATTTCCCATTCCTCGGATAGATGATCTTCTTGACCAACTTGTCGGTGCCACCATTTTATTCCAAGGTTGATCTCCGTTGCGGTTATCATCAAATCCGTATTAGACCGGGTGACGAATGGAAGACTGCATTCAAAACAAACTAAGGTTTATTTGAATGGCTTGTCATGCCATTTGGCCTCTCAAATGCACCTAGCACCTTTATGAGGTTAATGAATCAGGTTATCCATCCTTTCCTAAACAAATTTATTGTTGTTTATTTTGATGATATACTCATTTATATTAAATCTCCTCTTGAACATATCACACACTTGACAGCCTTTTTTTCTACATTAGTCACCCATAAGCTATATGTTAACATCAAAAAATGTCTTTTGTTGTCCCTGAAATTTCTTTTCTTGGTTTTCTCGTAAGTAGTGAAGGTATAAAAATCCATCCTCAAAAAATAAAAGCTATAGTAGAATGGCCTAGACCACAATCAGTTCAGGTATCCAATGTTTTTTGAGATTAGCCTCTTTTTACAGAAAATTTATAAAGAACTTTAGCTCTTTAACGGCACCCCTCACTAATTGTCTAAAGAAGGGAGGATTTCAGTGGACTGATGAGCAAACAGACAGTTTTTCCTCCATCAAAAATAATCTTAGTTCCGCCCGTCCTTATCCTTACCAATTTTACACAACCTTTTGAACTCACTGTGGATGCCTCCCGGTATTGGCATTGGTGCTGTTTTATCCCAACCCAACCACCCCATTGCTTATTTTAGTGAAAAACTAAGTCCATCTCGGCAAAATTGGAGCACGTATGAGCAAGAACTTTATTTCCTTGTGCGTGACCTCAAACAATGGGAACATTATCTTATCAACAAAGAATTCATATATACACGAATCATTTTTCTCTTAAGTTCCTAAATACCCAAAAATCTATTTGTCGAGTGCATGCTAGGTGGTTATCATTTTTACAACGAGTTAACTATGTGATTAATCATAGAGCAGGATCAACAAATAAGGTCCCCGATGTTCTTAGTCGCAAAGGGAGCCTTTGAGCACCTACTGGACACCTACTCCACTGAACAAAGCAAATCAACTCTTTATTCCACACACATCCCTATGGGAAGCTATTATTCACAATATCCATGCTGGAGGATTAGCCGGTCACTTTGGGCATGACAAGACCTTGGAACTTGTCTCTTCAAGATTTTATTGGCCCCAACTTTGACGGGATGTCTTTAACATTGTTAAATGATGCTTCGTTTGCCAATCTTACAAAGGATCTTAACAAAATATAGGATTATACCCCCCCACCGACTCCTCTCGCAATTTGGGAAGACCTATCCATGGACTTTGTTCTTGGTCTCCCCAAAACTCAAAGGGGTTTTGATTCCATCTTGGTTGTTGATAGATTCAACAAGATGTCTCACTTTTAAGCTTGCGAGAAGACATCCGATGCTGTCTATATTGCTAATTTGTTCTTTCAGGAGATCGTACGTCTCCATGGAATTCTTAAAACCATTGTCCCTGATCGAGATGTTAAATTTCTCAGTCACTTCTGGAAAACTTAGTGGAAAAATTTTGGCACCACCCTAAAGTTTAGCACAAGCAGTCATCCACAACCTGATGGGCAAACTTTGGTCACAAACCGTACACTATAAAATCTCATACGATGCCTAAGTGGTGACGTCCCCAAGCAACGGGACCTAGCTCTCGCACAAGCGGGGTTTGCCTACAATCACATGAAAAATAGATCAACAGGGAAGTCACCATTCGACATTGTTTATACCAAATTACCTTGCTTAACGATTGATCTAACCAATTTACCTTCATCGGGCGCTCGCCTTGGCGCGCCTCACTGCGCCTTGGCGCGCCCTCGCCTTATGGCGAGGCGAGCGCCTGGTTGAAGGCAAGCGCATCATTTTTTTTAAATGATTTTAACTTACTAAAAATCCACCGGACAACGAAAATAAACAAAAGGAGAATGAAGAGTTGAAAAAAGAAGAAGATGAAGAGAGAATAAACAAAAGGGTTCAAAAAAGAAGAAGATGGAGAGACGAGAAAGGTAGAACTAAAGGGAGAGATGGTAAAGTTGAAGGAAGAAGAAAAAATGAAGCAGAACATGTTGAAGAAGAAAGAAAAGAAAGAAGTATAGTTGAAGAAGAAAAGCTTGAGGAGAAGTCGAAGAAGGGTCTTTTCGTTTTTTGTAGTACGAGAAGAAGAAAAATTTGAAGGCAGTACTAAAAAAGAAAAGTTTGAAGGCAGCTCATTTTTCTATGTGCTTGTATGATAAGCTAGTTGTCATGTAGTATTTGCGTTTCCCATAAACATAGATGTTTACTATAAATACAATTGTTTCCCATAAATATAACTATTTGTATTTAGTTATTTGGCATTATAGAACTATTTTTTACCATTTATCTTAAATACAATTTTCTCTCTACTTCTTCTTTCTTTATTTTGAATATTCATATTTTTCTCAATTATTTAAGTTAATTTTTATTTGAGTATTATTTTTTTTTATTTTCATATTTTAAAATTGAATATTTATTTATTTTACATATAAATCATTAATAAATATTATTTATTTAATATTTTATTTTGTGCGCCTCGCTCCACTCAGGCCTCGCCTTTTTGTCGCCTCTCGCCTTGAGGCGATCAAAGGGCTTGTCGCCTTGAGGTGGCTCATCGCTTTTCCTGCATAATATAGCTATCACAGCATTGTCATAATAAAGATTTTTATTAGAAATCTTCGTTGAGCAATAACTAAAAATGAACTCTCAAGCTTTTCCAATACTTAGGTCTCACAAAATTTAAAATTCCATCAAAAACATAACCTATCCATTCCCAACAGAGGGGAAAACAAACCTGCAATCGCTTCTCTTTCTTTCTCTCATTCCGCTTGGCGGACTTAGTCTTTGATTTTGCATCTGATGGAGGATCATAACCAGGAGGCCCATCATGGGACGCCATCTCCTTTTTCCACTGTATCCCACAGAGACCGAAGAATCCACATGAATGCCACAAAGATTAAAAACTTCTAGGGTGCTATACACTAATAAAGAAATCAAAATTCTACCAGAAAATAAATAGAGTCCAGTCACCACTGTCGACTCGAATTGTATAAGCTCATTTATATCATTTTAAAGAAAAAGTTTCAGTCGATGAAAATTTTGGTGGTCCAGAAAGCATTAAAATTAGCAAAGAAAATCAACGATTGTTTAGAGCATGCCACCGGAGGCACTAAGATCAATGAGGGTGCCTCGCCTTAATTCAACAAATTGTTGTATGTTCAACTAGTGCATGATCCAAGAATTCAGTGAGTCCTGGATGATGTATAGGCAAACTATCGAGGGTGCCTGATCAACCAGTGGCAGCTCAAGAAACATGACAGTAGACGTCGGCAAGCATTGAATCAACAAGAGTCAAGAGGCATGCACAGGTTTTATTATTCCCTTTTATTAAAGAAATATGTTGAGTAGATCATTATATCCTTAAACAGTCCCTTAAAAAGGCCCCCATAACAATCCCTTAAAAAGGCAAACGAAGAACAGCAACATCATAAAGGTGTAAGCACAATAAACCTCAATCATAAAGAATAAGGGGAGAAAGAGAGCAGAGAGCAGAAAGAAACGCAACAACGTGTCGGAAAAAGAAGGATGGAAATAGAATAATACCCATGAGCCATACATACCAGAGCCCCTTTGGACTGGTAAATGGCGACTTCTTCCTGCGGAACATAGCCAGCCCTAATCCGAATGGGTTTTCGGAGAGTACCATCGGGTCGCCTCGTTGGCGCTAGAATTCTCTCTCCTTCTTTTAGGGTTTTGCTTAACTCCGCCATTTGCTTCACTAGATCTTCTCCTCCACCATCACTGCTCCCCATCGTCTAAAAGGCAAATTAATTGCGATACTTCCAAATTTCAGTTTGGGATTCAAAAGATTTCTTCTAACTTTTGATATCAATTACTTACCCTTACCAACCAAATCGTGTCGGACGCCTGTTATTTTGGCTTAAATCCGGATTATAAGTTTCAATTGGGTCATTCTTTGTCCACCTCTGTATCACGTGCCTGTACGTTTGCAGACTTCATTGTATAAATATACCGTCCGAATCTTATTAATGTTAGGGTAACACACAATTTTTGGTCCCTAAGTTGTGGTCCAAAGTTGAGTATCACGTGGCTCTAACTTGACTCTTGAGATTTCAATGAATACTTCATTTTAGTGTGTACTATTGACTTTGTTGGGAGAAGTTGATTAGAACTATGCCACGAGGAGGAACGGATCAATACTCGTGATCCTGCCAAGAGGTTCGAGAACACAAAAGGTCTTGTCAACAACCCAGCTGACCGAGTTGGACTTTGACTCACTTTGTTGCACAAACAAACTGGTGGAATGTATGCCCTAACTCGTTAAATAAAATAAACTTAATGTGTGTCTTGTTCTTTGTATCTAGCATTCATTGTTTATTTGCTTCTGAGCCATCGGATGCATTCTTGAACTAGGTATGTACAGGTTATACTAGAGGATCTAGTTTAAGAGTAGTGGCTTAAATGGTCTACAATATATAATAGGGTTGAGGACCTTATCCTGAAGGCACTGTTACTATAGTCTACTTTGTAACTGTAATGGTCCTATCCAAATCGTCCATGTGGTGACATGTGAGTTGAGGTATCATATGCAATGGGATTGCATAAGACTGGACCACTATATGTCTTGCAATTTCTAATAAGACCGTTAGAGAAAATGCAAATACATCACAAGGATGATCATAGACTTATTTTATCTTAATTTTGAGAGTGTTATGAACTCCGGCCTATGAGGGTGTGTTCTTTGATTCACATGAGTGAGGGTTATGTGAATGTTCGCCAATAAACCTTTTGTTTTGTTAACACATTCAAATGGGGAGTTGTGAATGTTCCTATATAAGATGGAATTCACAACCTCTCGATAGTAAAAAGTGCAAAGTTTACACTTCTCCTTATTGATTGTGTATATAAATGATTTCGTTAAAATGTTGGTTCAATGCTTAGATAACTGGATACTCGCCTTCTTGGTACCCAAGAAGGATTAACATGATGAGATCATGGAAGGCTCCATTAAAGAATCAGTAGTATTTAAGGAGCAAGAGATGGCACCAAGGTCAAAATGGTAATTTCGCCTAGTTGGGACCATTAATCATTTTGTGAAGGATCAAATGAGCAAGATTATATCCATGGACATAACTTGGTGCAACCCTTGGTCTATAGTATAATCACCTTGGATTAATGATAAAACTGGTTAATTAAATAGTTTAAATTAATTAATGCTCCACCATTGAGGCTCAAAGTTGGAGGTCCATTAGGTCCCTGCTAGCTCGTTGGCCTTTACAACAAAAAATAAGTTGGGAGAAAACTTAAATTATGATGATTATTTAATTTATAATTAAAATGTTTAATTAGGTAATTAATAATAAATATGATTTATTGTTAATTAATGGGAGCAAAAAAATAGTTAAAAAATTAAAAGTTAGTTTAAATTTCATAATTGTTTTAAAAATTTAATCAATCATCCGAGTTTGCTAGCCAAGACTATATAAATAGTATTATAGGCCAAATCCAATGAAGATAGTTTTTACGAGAAAAAAANAAAAAAAAAACTCTCCCAATAGCCCTTCTCTCTCAAGAGTACCCACACACTGTTCCAACAGATCGGGAAGATCAGTGGTTTCCCGTTCATGCCTTTGTCATCCCAAAGGTAAGGGATTTGATCCCATAGTCATTTTTCTAAAGCCTTTTGTTTGTTTTTAATTGAATTGTGCCAATGGATTAGCTAAAAACTAATTTCTAGCATGTGTTTCCCCTGGCGATCGGATCCGTTCCAGTTTCCAACAATTGGTATCAAAGCGATCTTTGGTCTTTTGATTAAAAAAATGTTACGGTGGGAATTTTCTTTTGAATAATTGTTTTCGATTATTTCTATTTATTTATTTATTTATTTTTGTATATGTGTTATACCTTTGGTTTGCAAATCTCGCTATTTAGTCATACTTGATTTATTAGATCAAATGTAAAGCTTGAATGGATTTAAATTTTACTGTAAGTTCTTTCTTTCAAACTTATTGTAATTTTGGGAGAATACAAATCATCACAAGAGCATTGTTCAGTATGTCGACTATTGAGTTGTTAGGTATTATCTACCTCGATGGATAAGAGATTGCGTGCAAGCACACACCTCCAACTCAATGAATGAAGGGAGGAGTACGAGGAAGTGCCTTTATATGAAGATGAAAAGAAAAAGAAAAAGGGTCAAACCGTATCTTACTGAATAATCTGAATGCCCAATGGAGCCTACCCCACTGAATCGAGGTACTTTCTCGTTTTTTGCATAAAGCCCAACAATTGCTTAACGAATGTATCTAAGGCTATCAAATATACCGATTTACTTCTGGTGTAGACTAAATATCAAAATCTTAATGAATGAATTGATAAGAATGCCACGGTAAAAGGATAGTAATCCAATAGTGAAAGCCTAACTGCCCCAAATAACTAAACTAAACTAACTTAAGTTGAGTTAGTTACATCAATTTCCCTCATTCTTTAAAAGGAACTCGACCTCGAGTTAATTTCCCAAGCTAAACGAATTTGGTGCAGCATAAAGGTAGATATCGAATACATTGAAGATTGGGTTGAAGTTATATTCTGGGGGTAGCTTTATTTTGTATGCATTAAGACCATATTTCTTCAAAACTTCAAATGGTCCAAATTTCTTCTTCTATAGTTTGTGAGCAAATCCAGTAGACAAGCGACCTTTAGTTAGATGGATCATAACAAGGTCGCCTTCTTTGAAGTCTTGAATCCTTCTCTTAGCATCAGCATCCTTCTTATATTTACCGTTGACAACTTCAATGTGGTCATGCACCTTTTTATGTAGCTGAGTAATCCTCTCTACCATTTGTACGGCCTCCAAACTAAAATCAACAGAAAAATAATATTAGCTAAGTCCACTGTCAATCAAGGTAATTTTGTATAAACAACCTCAAAGGGGGACTTCCCTATGGTCCTATTCTACATGTGGTTAAAGGCAAACTCAGCTTGGGTAAGAGTCAAATCCCACTGTTTCAGTTTATCGYTGTCTATGTATAAGATTGTCGAGGGTCCGATTGGTGACTTCTGTTTGCCCATCTGTTTAAGGATGATTGGTTGTACTGTATTTAAGAGAAGTATTAAATTTACGTCATAGTATTTGCCAAAATGGCTTAGGAACTTGACGTCTCTATCGGAAACAATAGATTTAGGAATCCCATGAAGACGGACAATCTCTCTAAAGAAGAGATTTGCCACATATACTGCATCTAACTGTTTTTTGCAAGCCAAGAAGTGTGTCATTTTACTTAATCGATCTATGACAACCATAACCGAATCAAATCATCGTTGTGTGCGGAGAAGCCCTATAACAAAATCACTACTAGAAATATGGGTTTTAATGTCGGACAAAAAAAAAACACGGAGGAATTAATGTCGGACAAAAAAACCGGAGGAAACAATGTCGGTCAAGTTAAAAAATGCGTTAAATCGAAAAAAAAATTAAAATTTATATTTCAATGTCGGGCGAGGCCTGACATTGTAAATCTACCTTTAATATTAGGCCCAGCCCACCATTAAAATTCACTTTACTTTTTTAACCTAACTTTTATTTTCACCACGAAAATGTGTCGATCTAAAAAATTTTTGCCTCC